GGCTTTTTTCTTTTTGCTTATGTGGTGCTGAGGAATCGAACCCAGGGTCTCATGCATGCAAGGCAAGCGCTCTACCACTGAGCCACCTTCCCAGCCCAAAGAGCTACAGCTGGAACACAAGCAGAAGAAAGGGCCTTCTTGCCTCTACTAAGTTATATTTCCATCACAGTCATCCTACCTCCCACTTGGCAACTGCTATTGCTGAATGGACAAAAGTATGGATAGAGATAAGATGTGAGAATGTTCCAGGCCAAAGGAGTAGGACAGTTAAAAGTCTCCAGTAAAACTGATTGATCCAGAGCATCTGGCTGCACTGGGGGACTGAGTCCAGGGTAAAAGCAGAACCCCAAGTTGCAGGAACAATGATTTGGTCTTCTGCAGTGCCTCCACCAGGGAGGGAGTGGAGGTACTTTCAGCATTCCTAGGTGTTCACTCCCCCATCACCTCACTAATATCACAGTCTTTCCACATGGCCTTCCCTTGGTGTTGGCTCTTGTCTTCTGATTCACAGCAGGGCCTGCCCACAAGTGTTCTGAGGATTTCCTTGCTTTAGAGAAAATATTAAGATGGTCCTCCCTCATATCGTGACCCTTCACCAGTTGACTGGGAAAATCTTCTGGAAGCACTGGTCTTGGTGGGAGAGAACTGGTGGTCCTAAAACAGGAAATAATCTATCTGCCCAGCACCTGTCAGCCTTCAAGGGGCTATTCTGATGGCTCCATTGAACATGAAGCTGTCCACATTAAACAGAAAAACACATTGTATGAACAGTATGAAGCAGCAGGGAATGGGTGTGCGATGGTTGAATTTTCAGAAAAGCACACAGAGGCAGGCATGGAGGATGCTCCGTGGTAGCTTTCAAGCCCAAAGGCTAGAACAGTGGCATGGGGAGGTATACAAAACCTGGAATCTGAGCTGCAAGCGATTTGTGTTTGGAACCATCCAATGTCTAGGGACCAAGTCTCCATGTATGATATGGGTATGTGACAAAGCTAGTTACAGGACTGGCAGAGTTGCCCATACGACCCTCCATGGAGATAGCAATAAGCCAGACACCTTGCCAGAATGGAGCACATGTCCAATTCCAGCCTAGTGGCATAAGATATGGATTGAAGGGTATATTTCATTCTTTGATAAGTGAGAGATCAGCTTCTGGGTTGGTTGAGAGACTCCAGTCCTCCACAGGTGCCCAATGATAGAGATGAAGAAGCTGAGAAAGAGAGATGATCCACAACATCAGAACAAACCTGTGTCCCCACTCTCTTCTATTGGAGACCTCCAGATTGACAAGGTCATATCTGATATATACAAGTTTCTAGAGTCCTTGAGCTATTGGGGAAAGAGGGAGGGTTCAGCCTGGATCCCAAGGATGGATGCTCTGGGGGAACATACCAATCCACATTTTCTTCCAGCACAATAGTGACCCTCTATATTCTGCCTTCCCTTCAGTCATACTGGCAAAGAAGCTGCATCCAATGATAGCCATGAGGGGTCACCATGTCCATATCGGGCCATAAAAACTCTACCACCACTTCAATGGACACTACCCTCCTCCCGTGCACAGACCTGGTTCCAGAACAGATAAAATAATCACTGCCTCTTCACACAACTGCACCATTTGCCTTTACCCGCATTGTGCCAATTCTCTACTGCAGTGTGGCTCTAACAAATTGAGTGTCAGATTATTCTGTACAATCACTTGCAGGGTCTCTGGAAATCTTTTGCATTCAAAGTCACAGTCCAGCAAAACAAGCACCAGGAAATGAATACTTGCAAGGGGCATGTAGGGCTAAGGGGAAAGGGAGAGACAAGTAAAGGGAGGAAATGGGGAGGAGAATGCAGTCAAGAATCCATTATATATATATAGCCACAAAATTAGGAAAAGTAAGGAAAGGAGTGGATTGAACGAGGATGAGAATGGTGAAAGTGATGGCACTGGTTAAGATGCGTTGTATTCCTTTGTATGTCCCTCCCCCACAGTATAACCCCTGCTTTCACTGTATTTGATGTCGGTATAATTTGTGGAGGGGAAGGGGAAAATCAAATCGTTTAAATAGGGATACAGGTGGACCCATTGCAACAATGAGATGGACAAGTCGTTATGTCGAGAAATTGAGTGGGGGGGCGGGGGGAAGATGGGAAGGGATGGGAAGGGGAAACAAAGGAGGAGGCTACAATGCTTGATAAGAACTGTACTCATTATCTTGCCCATGTAATTGTAACCCCTCTGTACAGTATTTTCACAATAAAAAAAATGCGCTGTATTCATTAACTGCTTTGGTAAATGATATCTCCTTTGTATAACTATTTAAAGATAATTCAAAATTTTAAAAATATTTTGCACTTTTTGACTTTTCTTTGCCAAGATCTTATAGACTGCCTGAGCTGGCACACTGGAACAGGATGAAGCACAGGGACCTGGAAATTCAGGCAATACAGGATGCTTCCAGAGGTGTCCTGATACACGTAAAGCTATGCAGCCAAGCTCTGGGAGACATTCCTTATCTACAGATTTATTAGTGAAATAAGTCTCGTTTCTATCATTTTTGGTGTAACATTACCACGATTGTTAGAAAAATTAAACACAGAATTTCAAAAAGAATGGACTGAATCCACAGTGCCCACACCCAACCACCAAGCAGACTGGAATTGGATGTACATAAAATATGGACTTTAATGATTTGCAACTGAGATCTTAGGATTTACTTGTTACTTCAGCATCAACCTCATTCTGACACAGAGAAATAAGATTATAGGTCCACCCTCTGAACAGTAGGGAGACAGTACATTAGTTGAAATGTAGGTATATCTACTAGCCTTCTTAGTATGGTAAAAAATGACTGGCCAGTCTTCTGGAATCCCATTCCCTGATAGAGAGCCAGAGCCCCATGTTGCATCATTGTGGTCTCAAGGACAACTTCACTGCAGCTCTGGTCCCGGGCAAACTGGAGAACAGTCCTGGCCAGAGCTTTAGCTATCCCCTTTCCCCGGTGCTCCAAGGCCACAGACATGTGCAGCAGCTCTAACTGCTTCTTCCCCAAGGGAGAATCCTTGACAGGCAGGACACCCACCATGCCCGCCACCTGCCCCTCACACTCAGCCACCCAGAAGCAGGAGTCACGGGAGCTCAGGTAGAACTTGGTGATATCAGCCAGATCTGTGCGCAAACAGGTGGACACATACTGCCTCCAAGGGTATTCTGCAATGAACCACAGGAAAAGAAGAAGCATGCAGGTGCAACAACCAGCCAAGATCCATGAGCCATAGACCAGGAGTAGAGCAATAGGTACCCCAAGTAAGAGCAGGAAGGTTCGGGGCAGCCTCAGCACGTGGCGGAAGGTGGCAGGGATGTGCTCTTCCATGCCACTGGTGAACAAGGCCAGGACCTGTGTGTGGTCGCTCTCCTGGTACTTGCGGATGTGATAAGGAGCCATGGGGAGGTGTTTGTTTGAGATACCAGCGTCCGTGAGCCAAATCTAGACCTTAGTTCACACCTTCCCTGTAGCCCTGTAGGAGAAAGAGGAAGTCCTGTGAGTTCCCACACAGCTTCCAACCTCCAGGAACCTCCATGGACACCCTGCTCCAGAGTGTGTCTTTCTACTCTCGCCCAAGAGGAAGCCTCATACCACCACTGGTAGTAGATGTGGGTTCAGAAAGAGCCTATGGAAACTCTGGCTGTGTGGCCTTGGACATGCTACCCAACATTTCTGAGCCTGTGTGTCATTACTGCATGAAGGGAAAATAAGATCTGCCTTGTGTTTTGTTGTTGTTGTTGAGCATTTAATACAATATCTTACATGGAGCACTAATATATACCTTACCCTCCCACCTGCTTCCCTCCCCCACCATTCTGGCTCCGTTACAGGTTGCCTATACTTCTAGTATGTTGAGATGGCTCCCCGTTGCAGGATAATTTCCTCTCCCCAATTCTGGAGAGAGGACTCTTAGACATTGCTGAATCTTATTTTTCCCTACAGAAGTTCCAGCAAAGCCTCCTTCTCCCTGGTAAGGAAGTTGAGGTTTCTGATAAAGCAAAAGGCCAAGCACCAAACTGCCCCTCACTTGAGATACAAAAAGTTGGTGGAATCCCCCATTGGCACCCTTACCTGGCACCTATGTCCTTTTGCCTACGCCATGGGTCCGAGCGTGTCCAGGAAGTCTCGAGTCCCTCTGTGGCATTCAGAAGAGACCGTCTAGATCCTGCCCATTGGTCCCTCATTGGCTGATTCCCAGATGGTCATAAAACCCAAGGTGAGACCTGGAAAGTGCTAGAATAGGGATCCAAAGTCCCTTCACCTGAGAGCCTCCTGAAATTTCAAAATAGTAGTGAAGGCTGACAGCCCATAGGGTCCATCATCATGGGAGATCTGCTACTTTTCTTCTTGTTCACCTCAGACTTCAGTGTCTCCCCCACCCCCTCAGCACACTATTCTGTCTCTGACATCACCAGGCTCTACCACACAACTCATGCTAAGAGCCTGGGGACTGTGCCACTCACCCTAGATTCTTTCACCCTAGGCAAAAATCCAGGTACCCTGGTTCAGCAACAAGGTCCTTTGTGGCTGAGCTTCTTCCAGTTCAAGCCATACCCAGTCCTAGACAAACGCATCCTGCTAGTTTCCCTGACACGGTCCTCACTCCCCACCGCCTCTCTCTCAGGTCTCACTCAGTAATATTGATGCATTGGCTGAGGGCAGGCATTTTCTCCAGTCCCCAGTAGAGCATAGAGCTGACATCAACTAATTGACTTAGAACAATGGACAGCTATTATGGGTGCTGGTGGCCACACAGGACCAATCTTCACATGTGTCTTGTGTCTTACCTTAGTGAGGCACCTTACTAAGGCCAGGCACCACAAATGGGCAATTATTTCTCTATGAACTCTCTTCTGTGGAAAGGATGCTTCCATTCCTATTAACAGCCCGGTCTCTGTGTGCCTTGTCCTAATAGAACAGGTAATGCTCTGCTTTTTTCCTCTTATGACTCCTAAAGTAGAAACCAGCATTTGCCTGGATTGTTAGATCATATTTATTGTGGTCTAAAGTCTGAGATAAAAAGAGGATGACTAATTTGAAGTCTTACATTGAAGGAGCAATTTAGGAGCTTTGAGTGTGTGGAAGACAGGGAGATGCCCTTCAAGCTGTGACCAGGATTAGGAGCCAGAGGCTTGGTCCCAGATCATAGGAGACCTCAGCCTCCTCAGCCAGTGAGATTTCCCAGGCTGAGAGAAGAGAGGAGTGGAAAACACTAAGGATGAAGGTCAATGATGGCCACTACTCTAGGAAACGTTGTCTTCCCTGGCCACTCGGGGAGGAGTAGAGGATGTGGGTAGACCTGAAGCTACTGGGCCAGTATTCTAGTTATGTAGTGATGATTCTATTCCACATACACTACAGGACCAAAGCATGACTTTCCTTGGAAGGTACATGGCTAGGATATGGGCATGTGTATGTGTGTGTGTACAGTTTATCACATAGAGCATAAACCAGCAATGGCAGAATCAGGAGATACTCTAAGAGTCATGTGAATGATCCTGGCAAAATAATGTCCCCAGGTACGTGGGTGCTATGTATAAACCTAGTTTGTTTTGATTCCAGAGAGTGGGACCTTGAAATGTAGCTAGGTATGGATCAGGAAGAAAACACTTTTTGTTAAATTTCTCAAAGGTCTTGTTTCCTTTCTATTCTTGTACCCAATGGGCCTACTGCTGAAAGGAGCACCCTATTCAGGTTTGACGGCGGAGTCTTCTGCTCGATCATTGATCCTTCAAGGTACTTGTGGCCTGTCTGCTATGAGACATCAAGGCTGTGAAATCCACATCACCTGAGGGTGTCTTCTGCGGTAGAAATACCAGGAGTTCAATGACTCCAATTGGGATGAGAAAAGAAGAGGTCAAAGATGATGTCAAGAGCCTCCTGGAGGCTAGATGGGAGAGATCAAATTTAGAAAAATCAGGACCTACCTGTGGGGGCTTCCTATATCTTCTTCATGGCTAACTGGGAGTTGGTAACAACAATTGAAAACCAGGCTGGTGTTTGGAAGCTGCTAGGGTTGGGAATGTTAACTTCTAGTCCAGCCAATTGTGTGTGTGTGTGTGTGTGTGTGTGTGTGTGTGTGCATGCACATGCACATGCCATTCTTGGGGCTTGAATTCACGGCCTAGGTTTTCTGCTCAAGGCTAGCACTTTACCAGCTTTTTAATGGTTAATTAAAGATGAGTCATGTGACATTTCCTGCCTGAGCTGACTTTGAACTGAGATCCTCAGATCTCAGCCTCCTTTGTAGTTAGGATTATAGGCATGAGCTACTAGTGCTGGGCTAATTAGGCTAACTTTGAATATAATTTTGTTGAGTGGTTGCACTGTCTTGAATATATTTTAATATTGCCATGAACACTTGCCTGTTTGAAATTAAACTAGGAATGTTGAATGCTGGCCTTATTGAACAGGAAGCATAGGGTAAACTAGGAATAGGAGGCAAGGAGATAGGGCTCCAGGTGTGGGGAGAGTCTGTGTAATATTAACTAGATGGAAATCCAAGTCAAGCTGAGGGGCAAGAGGCTTGAGCGCTGTCCCTGCCCTGTCTCCCCTTGTGCTTGGTGTGACTATGGCTTCCCATATACACAGTGCCCTCAGTCACGAGATGACCTGAAGGAGGTTTGGGTCTCGTGGCTTCTCTGCTGTTCTGTATGCAGGAGCAGCTCTCTCCTTCTGGGTCCTCACTGGATATAGGATGCACTTTGGCCATGTTTGAGGCTGCGGCATGGCTGTTCCCACCAGCTGAGAGGGGAGGGCTGCTGTCCAACATCGCCAGTGTCAGCAGATGTGAACATGAACAGTCTCAAGTTCACTCTCTTTTCTAGTCCTCACTTGAGGACTAGATGTGAACATTCCACTCCCTGATATAGTTAGATTTCATTTAAAAGTGGTCCAGAGCCAGGCACCAGTGGCTCATGCTTATAACCCTAGCTGTTCAATAGGCTGAACTCTGAGGATTATGGTTCAAAGTCAGCTTGGGCAAGGAAGTCCATGAGATTCTTATCTCCAGTTAACTACCAAAGGGCCAAAAGTGGAGCTGTGGCTTACGTGATAAGAGTGCTAGTCTTGAGCAAATAAGCTCAGGGACAGAGCTCAGGTCCTGAGTTCAAGCCCCAAGACACACGCACATGGGCATGTACACACACACACACAGACACACACACACAGACACACACACACACACACACACACACACACACACGCATGAGCTTGCATCAATGAGCTTGCATTGGATGCTATGCTAGCATCCAATGAGTGAAGAGGACTACTGAGTCCAATGGGTACAGCACTCCCATAGATATGCAGGATCACTATGACTTATGTTCTTAGGGGCAGGTCGGTGACCACTACCTGTAGTGATGTGATCAGAAATCCAGAGGGATTGGGGTGGAGATTTTACAGTATCCATACATGGATCTGCCAAGAAGACCCCAGACTATAAGCATTCTAACTCCCATCCCCCTACCTTTCCATTGTTCTTTTTAAGGGACAAAACTGGTTGTTATGAGGCTTAATTGAGCAAGATTTTGGAAGAAATAGAACACTTGCTAATTTTATAGCCTCTGAACTCAGTGACTTTCTCATTGAATTTCCAAACATTTGAGAGAGTTTGTGTCTCTTACACAAGCTGTAGACTCCCGAAGCAATATATTTTCCATGTTAGTATATACAATTGGACTCTGACCTCCTCAAGGCTATCCTGACTTCCTGGTTCCACAGCTGCTCTAACAATCTGGAGGGCCTTCCCAACCCACTACATAATCTGCAGGGGACTTTAACCCTCTCCCCACCCCCCTGCCTTTCTTGTGCCCGTCCTGAGGCTTGAATTCAGGGCCTAAGAGTTGTCCTTGAGCTTTTTTGCTCAAGGCTAGTGCTCTAACACGTGAGCTACAGCTCCACTTCTGGCTTTTAAAGTGTTTAATTGGAAATAAGAATCTCATAGACTTCCCATGATCTTTACAGAGCTCAGCTTCCTGGGTAGATAGGATTACAGGACTGAGCTAGCTAAAGATGCCAGCTTAAAAAAAAATTATTAGCGCACGTTGTTTGTCAGAAGAAAAGGTCATTGTGATATTTCTATACCTGTAGCTAACATGTCTCAATCAACTTCCATCCTCTGTCACTCTCCCTCATCCTCTGTGTGTGTGTGTGTGTGTGTGTGTGTGTTGGTCGTGGGGCCTGAACTCTGGGCCCGCGCGCTATCTCTCAGCTCTTCAGCTCAAGGTTAGCACTCAACCACTTGAGCCACAGCACCACTTCTGGCTTTTTCTGCTTATGTAGTGCTGAGGAATTGAACCCAGGGCCTCATGCATGCAAGGCAAGCACTCTACCACTGAGCTACCTTCCCAGCCCCTTTCCCTCATCCTTATATTCCTTTTTTGTCTTAAAACAGTTTAAGTGACTTTTATTCTGTTTTCATACATGTAAAAAAGGATGCCTCGCACCCTTTTGTTAGGCCTCCTTCCCTGTTGTTGTTGTTTTTTCAGCAGAGGACATAGTCTAGGTTTTAACATGAAATCTCCCAGTATTTCTTTCTTTCTTCTACAAATTGGAACTATTTATAATTCTGAACCCAAGTGGAAATGAGATACTGCCCAAAAACAATTACAATAAATATAGGCTTCTTTTGATCTGCCTTCAAATTGTACAGTAGGACTTTAAAAATTATTCTTAAGTAGTTGTACAAAGAGATTACAATTCCAAAAGTCAGGTTATGAGTACAATGCATCTTGATGGATACCACCCCCTTGGTTTTTCTCTCCCCTATTCTCCCTCCCATCCCTATGCCCCAAATTTTCAATGTTAAAATATAAATCAAAGTTTTTCCAATGCAAGAGAGTATACAGATTCTTGTCTTCTTTTAGCCCAGTATCACTACTTTTGTAAGAAAGAATAACTTTTTTTATATGTTTTTATTGTGGAAATACTGTACAGAGGGGTTACAGTTACATGAGTAAGGTAATAAGCACATTTCCTATCAAGCATTGTTATCTCCTCCTCTGTTTTTCCCCTACCATCCCTTCCTTTCCATCTTCCCAACTCCTCCCACCCTCCTCCCAAGTTGTAAAGTTCTTTTGCAACATAATTTTTTAATTTAATTTTATTTTTTGGGGGGGTCCGGTTGTGGGGCCTGAACTTGGGCCTGGGCACTGTCCCTCAACTCTTCAGCTCAAGGCTAGTGCTCTACCACTTGAGCCACAGCACCACTTCTGGCTTTTTGCTTATGTGGTGCTGAGAAATCGAACCCAGGGCCTCATGTATGCAAGGCAAGCGCTCTACCACTGAGCCACCTTCCCAGTAGCCCCAACATAAATTTTTTAATGGATGTCTTCCAAGCACCAAAATAGCTCCTAGTGTACAATAACTGAAGGAAGTTTCTCCTCTTTCCAGTTTTGTCTGTGCCCACACCTTGCAGTGACTCCTGGGCTCTGAGCCTCCCTCATTGATTGGTTAGCTTCAATGTTTATTTCTGATAACTGGCTCTCCTTCCAGTTTGTGAGCATCTTGGGGGGTGTTATTAATCAGGTGTCCTCTCGAAAGACAGACCCACAGGAAATCTATAGAGTATATGAGAGGAAACTTACGAAAGGATTTCATAACTTGTGGTGTCACTATCGAGGGAGGCAGAGCGGAAACTCTCAACAGCAGTGCCTACAAGATACTATGGAGTTGCTAGCCTTGGAGGGCAAAGGCTTCTTTTCTAAGATTTCACTGTTTCATGGAGACTAGAAGAGTACAACAATGAGTTGTATGGGACATGAGGAACTGCTGTGCAGCCACAAGTCTGACAAAATGGAAGGCTTTAAGGAGAAATGAGGAGGAGGGTAAGGAGGATGTAAGACTGTTGAAACACTAGTTCTTGTCTACAAAAATTAAAACCCACAGAGTTCAAAGGTCAGGAAACCAGAAGAGAGCCACTCCCAGCTTGATCCAATCAAAGGTTATTAGGCAGAGGTCCTGGCAAAAGTATTGACTAAGATTGTGGTGGCCTTTGGGCAAGGTGTAGTTCTAATAACGTCTTTGGTTAATATTTCTAGTGAACATATTTGTGAGTTCCCTACTTGATAACCAAATGGATTTATTTATTTGACTTAAAATTGTAACCCCTTTGTAGAACTACTTAATAATTTTTAAAGGAAAAAGAATTGATAAAAAGTCTCTGGCACAAAAGTGCAATGTCTGTGTGCCTCTGATCATGTAAAAGAATATTCATCAAAATGAACTGCATGAAATGGAAATGAGTTTTTTTGTTTTTGTTTTCATTTTATATTGTTTATATGTCTTTGGGAGGGTAATGGATGAACTTGTCACCTGACTTATATAACTGTAACTCTTCTGTGTATCACCTTTATAATAACATAAAAATAAAAATGTTTTAAAAAAGAATCAGTGTAGAGAAGAAAGCAATCTACAAGCAGAACCTGAATCTTCATCTGGAAACACATGACACATGGGTGATGATGGTGATCATAGGTTTAAGAAAAAGTTTTGTAGGGGCTGGGGAGGTGGCTCAGTGGTAGAGCGCTTGCCTTGCATGCATGAGGCCCTGGGTTCGATTCCTCAGCACCACATAAGCAAAAAGAAAAGCCGGAAGTGGCACTGTAGCTCAAGTGGTAGAGCACTAGCCTAGAGCTGAGGGACAGTGCCCAGGCCCAGAGTTCAGGCCCCATGACTGGACCCCCCCCAAAAAAAAAGCAAGAAAAAGTTTTGTAATCCTCTGTTTTTATTTAGAGTTAAGATTTGGCACAGGGAAACTTCTTTGGATACTGCATTGGACCCAACAGACCTGTAACACCCTATCCTTATCCCCCACTCCAAAACAAGGTTTTTCATACAAGAATCCAATCCCAAATTGGGAAAAATAGATTTGTGTTGGAGGTAGGAATATAAAACTTGGGAAATCTGGTAAGATCAACCATTTTCATTCCTTAAAATCAGACATTTGTAATTGTGTGTGTGAGAGAAAGAGAGAGAGAGACAGACAGACAGACAGACAGAGTATTCTGGGGCTTGAACTCAGGGTCTGGGTGCTGTCCCTGAGCCTTTTTTGCTCAAGGCTAGTACTCTACCACTTGATCCACAGCTTCACTTGTGGGTTTTTTGGTAGTTTACTGGAGATAAGTCTCATGGACTTTCCTGCCTGAGCTATCTTCAAACTGTACTCCTCAGATCCCAGCCTCCTGGGTAGTTAGGAATACAAGCTTGCCCCACCAGCAACTGCACATTTGTGATTTTTAATGTTGGCTTGGGTGGGAATTCTGTTCCATACTTTTGTTGTTATTGGTACCAGTTCTCCCATGTGATTTGTTAAATCCATAATAAAGTTCATGTGCCTAGCAGCTGAAAAAAATAAAAATAAAAAACAATGTATGAAATCCCTTTAATTGGTTCTGGCATGCCACCCAACTTCGATATGCTACTTCAATTATTATACTGTTATATTTTGGAGAATAGTCCTCTCCTCCCCTCTCCTCCCCTTTCCTTCCCTCTCCCTCATTTTGAACCCAGGTTTCTCAAAGGCTAATGTCTCATTGATGTTCCTAAATGCTCAAAATAACTCTGAACTCAAGCAATGTGTGGCAAATGATTAAAGACAGAGAACATTTTTTTTGTTTTTGCTTTTTTAATTTCAAGGAGTACAGGAATGGGAAGAGGAATATTTGCTGTGATACTACAAACCTTTCACTTCAAACTCTCTCCCTCCATTCTACTGGTCCTGGCAAGAAATCTTGTTTGGACATATAAATTCATATTCTCATGGCAGAACCTAAATTGTCAAAATCTCAGGCTCTTCACAACCAAGATAAAGGCTAAGGGCAAAGTTGTTCATTGGTCAAAATAAAAATGTTAAGAATCCAGCAGGTTTGGGTTCAAATCCTAGCCCCACCTCCAGTGTCTTCAATCTCTCTGACCCTGACCCCCACTTGTACAGGAGGGGTCAAAGTGGCATCCCCCCTGTGTAATCCCTTTAGACCTAGAAAATCTAGGAGCAGCTCTGCCCTTTTGTGAGTTTAGATACATCTTGCACATATGTCTTGGGAATATGTATTATAAGTTGCGTAAAGGTGCTTTACTGTGATACTTTCATAGATGCATGTAATTTATACTCTTAGTATACTCTCTTAATCACCCTCTATCCTTTTCAAGCAGTACTTAGTGAATTTTACAAATCTATCATATATTTTGCTGTTCACCCCTAGCACCCTTTCCTTTACTCCTCCCATCTCCCAGTGATTACCCCTGCAAGGTAGTCTCTCTTTTAGGTTCCTGTCCTATAATTATCATCATTATTATCATTTAAAGTCTAGATTGCAAGAACATGTGATACTTAACTTTTTGAGTCTGGCTTATCTCATTCAACATGATGAATTGCATCTATCTTCCTGCAAAGGACATAACTTTATTCTTTAATGCCGAATAATATTCTATTGTGTGTGTGTGTGTGTGTATATATATGTATATATATATATATATATACCTTTTCTTTATCCATTCATCAATTGTTAGGAAGGTAGGCTGATTCCTTAGTTTGGCTACTGTAAGTAATGTCATGATTTAACATGAGTGTGTGGTTATCTCCACTGTGTGCTGCTTTACACACAGCCTTCAGATATACACCCAAGCATGGTAGAGTATATTGATATGGTAGATCTAATTTAGTTTTTTGAGGACTCTCCCTATTGGTTTCCATAGTTATTGCACTGACTTAGATTCCCTCCAACAGTGTATAAAGGCTCCTTCTCTTGTACCCTCATCAGCATCCATTGTTTTCTTCAAGATTGCAATTCTATTGTCAAGATGATAGATACTGCAATCTTTAAAGTACTTCAGAGAAAAAAAATAAAGTACTTCAGGGATTTGCACAGGTGTTCTGAGACTTTGAGACCTGGTAGCCCAGGCCTAAGACAAATTATTGCTGGTCCACAGTGAAAGATATATATGTCTATCATTTTTCTATTGCTTTTAATACAACATTACCACCAGGTAGACAAATGAAACAGAAGCACTTCAAAAAAAAGGACGGAATTCCCAATGCCCCCATCCCACCACCTAGATGATTAGAATCTGAAATACACAAAATCTGAGCTTTAATGATTTGTACTACTCAGATCTCAAGATTTGCTTGTTACCCCTCTGTACAGTACGTTCAAAAATAAAAAAAAAGATTTGCTTGTTACTATTTTAGAGTCCAATCTTACCTTGACACTGAAAACTAAGATTATAACCCTGCTTCCTGAATAGAAGGGAGACAGTACATAAAACGAATTATACGGAAATTCAGTAGCTTTGTTATTGTGTCTACATAAAACTCTTTAGTCTTCTGGAAGCCCATTCTCTGATAGAGAGCCAGGGCCCCATATTGAAACACTGAGGTCTCAAGGACAACTTCACTGCAGCTCTGGTCCCGGGCAAACTGGAGGACAGTCCTGACCAGAGCTTTAGCTATCCCCTTTCCCCGGTGCTCCAAGGCCACAGACATGCGAAACAGCTGTAACTGCTTCTTCCCCAAGGGAGGATCCTTGACAGGCAGGACACTCACCATGCCCACCACCTGCCCTTCACACTCGGCCACCCAGAAGCAGGAGTCACGGGAGCTCAGGTAGGACTTGGTGATGTCAGCCAGGTCTGTGCGGCAACACATGGCCACATACTGCTTCCAGGGGTATCCAGCAATGAACCATAGGAAAAGGAGCAGGGTGAAGATATACACAATGGCCAAGATCCATAAGCCATAGAGCAGGAGTAGAGCAACAGGCCCCCCAAGTAAGAGCAAGAGGGTTTGAGGCATCATGAGCAAGTGGCGGAAGGTCGTGGGGATGTGCTCCTCCATGCCCCTGGAGAACAAGGTCAGGACCCATTTGCGGTCGCTCTCCTGGTACTTGCGGATGTGATAAGGAGCCATGGGGAGATGTCTGTGGTGGAAATCCCAATGTCCAAAAGAGGCTAGTAGATTTGTCTATATACCTTCCTGTAGCCCTGTAGAAGAGAGAAGAAGCCATGTGAATTCCCCTTGACACACACACACACACACACACACACACACACACACACACACACCTCCCAGCCTCCCGGGAACCATGGACAATCCATTGAAAGGTGTGTCTTTCTATCTATTATCACTCAAAAGGAAATGTGACAGCACCACTGGGAGGTGTAAGATCAAAAACACCTCATTGGACTCGACTTCCTCTCTCCAGTTGTGTGATATCTGAGGTATAACATTTAATATCTCTCAGCTTGTGCTAAAGTAACCCCTGCCTTTATGTTACACAAAACTCTGATATATATGGTCCCTTCCCCAAGCACCTTAATTTACTACAGACTGAACTCGTAGTACATTGAGATGGCACCCTTTGTCAAAACTGTCTTGGGTACCTGCAGTACATACACTGAAGAATCCTGTGTTCCCAACTAAAGTTCCAGCAAACCTCTTTCCACTTGATTGTAAAGATTTAGGTTGCAGGGGCTGGGAAGGTGGCTCAGTGGTAGAGCGCTTGCCTTGCATGCATGAGGCCCTGGGTTCGATTCCTCAGCACCACATAAGCAAAAAAAGAAAAGCTGGAAGAGGCGCTGTGGCTCAAGTGGTAGAGCGCTAGCCTTGAGCTGAAGAGCTGAAGGACAGCGGCCAGACCCAGAGTTTAGGCCCCACAACCAGACCCCCCCCCTCCCAAAAAAAGAAAGATTTAGGTTGCAGAGTAGCCAAAGGTCTAACTACCATAGCACACCAACCTTGAGATCCCACAAAGGCTGTGGGACTCCAGACATCACTCATACCCTGCCTGACCATGTAGTCTTATTTATTCACCTGCTACCACAGAGTTGTGAGTGTTCTGGACAGCCTCAACCTCTAAATGGCATCTAGGAGAGACTGTCTAGGGCCTACCTCATGTTTGAGGAATAGACTTGAGTTGACAACTTGTTGGCTAGATCCTAAATAATCATCAAATTGAAGGTCAAGAACTGGGAAGGGCCAGTTGAAACCCAAATCCATTCACCTTGAAATTTCCAGGAAATTAATTCTGTAAGGGTGCAGACCCAGGTCAGATCAGGAGTCCTCACTCTTGAAAGGCCAACCCTCCTCCTCTTCCATCTGTACGGTACAGGGATTTGAAGTCTTTCTCCATGCTTGGTAAGCCAGCATTCTAGCCTCTGAGCCATGCCTTCAGCCCTATTTTCTACTAGTCATTTTTGGGGTAGGGTGTTTTTTTCTGCCTTGAGATGGCTCGTTTATACTAAACGTCCTTGTAGCTAGGGTAACTTTTTTCTGCCTGGGCTGGCATCCAACCATGATCCCAATAATCTCAGCTTCCCAAGAATCTAGGATTACAGCTGTGAGCTATGGGTACCTGGCTCAGTCTGGTTTCTTAAGCACAGCACTTAGGAGCCTAGGAACTGTGCTGCTCACCCTGGCCTCTTACCACAGGCAAAAGACCAGGTCCCCTGGATTCAAAAAGATCCTTCAAACAGACTGCCTCTACCCAAGCTGTATATGGACCTAGAAAAACTGATTCTAGCAGTCCAATATACTGTACTCTCTGCCCTCCTCTCCATCAGGTCCTCAGTTAGCAGTGCTGCTGATCTACCTGTGGAGCTGCAGGTGTCTTTTCTAGTCCCTGGCAGAGCTGACCTCCAGCTGACAGGCCTAGGAAACAGCAGATGTCACCCAGAGCTGTGTCATCACATTTGTCACAAGTGTTAGCTGAGGATGTCCCTTGTGAAGATAGGCTAAGAACCACAGAAAAGAGATCCCTTCTCTGTGACTCTTCACTGTGGAAGGGCTGCTTCCTTGCCAGATGACATCTACGTACACTAATTGTGCGTGCTCACTGTGGCTAGGGGCTGTGTGGGCACTGAGGAGGAAACAGATAACCAAAGATCTTATATTGCAGGAGCTCCTCGGGTGCTTGAGAGTTGGGGGACAGGTTGACAGCCTCACAGCTATGGCAAAGTGAAGAGGGGACAGATCCAAAGTGAAGAGTGAGTAATGAGGCTTCCCAGAAAGATTGCTTGGGCCCAACTCTAGGAGACATTGGGCTCTGCAGGCAGTGAGAAAAACTTCCTAGGCCTAGGCCTGGGAAGAGAGGTATGAATAACAAGCAGACAGGCCAGAGGCCTGTTGTCTGGAGAATGATGACCAAAGGAAGAAGGAAGTGTGTATAGGTGACAGAGTCTGGCCTTCAGGACCAGCTCCCTGAAGTAAGTGGTATAGATTCTAGCAACACTGGAGGCCACAAGTATGCTTTTGGTTGGGAAGCTGTATGACTGGCACTTAAGATTGCCACTTAGGTGTCACATGTGCATATACTTTGATCTTATTCAGCTATCTATTACTTTTTATTATTCTCTCACTATACTCCCTCTATCTTTCTTGCAATACTTTAAATATAAGATATTTCAAGAGAAAATATGAATATAAAATACATAGTGATTGTCATTATATATTTTCATACATGCATACAAAGTACTTTGATTATACTCTCCCTTGCCCCTTTACCCTCTTTTCCCAAACTAGAGAAATGAGGATTATGTTAGCTTTTCATGAAACACTGACACTTGGCTACTAGGATTTGAAGTTACAAATCTTAAACTTCAAATTTCTTCCCTCCCTTGTACTAGAAAGAAATCCTAGCAAGAAATCCTATTTAGACATGAAATTTTATATTTTCAAGGCTAACATTTTTTCCTTGAAAATTTTTATATTTTCACCTCAGGCTCCCCATAACGAAGATAAAGCCAAGGGCAGAGTTGTCTATTGGACAAAATATGAATTTTAGCGTCCAACAGATTGAAGTCCAAATCCTAGCCCACCTTCAGTGTGTGTCACCTCTCTGACCTTGACCATCACTTGTGAAGGTAAAGTCAAAGTAGCACCTTTCACTTTCCATGTGCACAGTGGTCCTTCTATCCCCAGCAACAGCTCAACCCTAACTCTTCTTTCCTTCCCTTCCTCCTCCCTCCCTCCCTCCCTTCCTTTCTTCCTTCCTCCCTTCCTTCCTTTCCTTCTCTTTCTCTTCTCTGCCTGCATTTTTCTTTCTTTCTTTCCCTCTCTCTCTCCCTCCCTTTTTTCTTTTCTGTTTCCTACATAAGTACCTAAAAAAAAATTTGAATTATGACCCAAACTATACAAACTGAGAACTATAAATCCAGAAAAGGAGCAGTCACTACCATACAGGATCCCAGGAATATTCTAGCATATTTCAAGAGCTCAATATATGTTGACTCTGTAAGCTCTATGGAAGACTCGGGTAAGATTTGAAAGACTGATAGGATCTCATTGGAGGAGAATGTTTCAGAAGAAACTTCAGGCAGAGGGCTCCAAAAACTAGCTTTGGGGCCTGGCTAGCAAAAGTAAGGTAAGTAGTGGAAAGAAAGCTAGAAAGTAGATAGGGACAAGGACAAAAAAGGGAGAGGGAAGGAAGAAGGAAGGAAGGAAGGAAGGGGGAGGGAGGGAAGGAAAGAATGAACGAACAAATGAAAGAAAGGAAATAAAGAAAGAGAGAGGGGGTAGGGAGGGAAGGAAGGAAGGAAGGAAGGGAGGGAGGGAAGGAAGGAAGGGAGGGAGGGAGGGAGGAAGGAAGGGAGGAAGGAAGGGCAGTGTAACTGCTTCCTGACATCTATGTTTACAAAAGATGAAGCCAGCAGTGAACTTTACTTACTTGTTGAACTGGAATAGGGAGCAGGCAGCAGGGGCTACTCCACAGCAGCCAGGTGTCAAGTACTCAGTTTCTGAGCTGGGTGCCAACAGCAACAATGCCAATGTGTCTTCTTTCTGAACTGCACAGGGATTGTCTCTGTATGAGGGCAATTTCATAAGAGTGGAGCACCTGTTAGTATTTGTAGTCCCTGTAATGTGCATTATTTACCTAATAAAAACACTGAGAGAGGACAACTGTCTACGGTCTACATTGAACCGTCCATATTACTGAGACAGCCAAGTGGCCATCTTCTATTCCTCAAACTATTCCTACATGAGTAATGAGATCTCCAAACTTGTTTGTTTAAATCACCTAATAGTCTTTTTTCTCCTTCCAAATACACATGGTGTGTGTGTGTGTGTGTGTGTGTGTGTGTGTGTGTGTGTGTGTGTGTGTGTGTGCCAGCACTGGGGCTTGAACCCAAAGCCTGGGTGCTTTTTCACGTGGCTTTTCTGCTCAAGGCTGGCACTCTACCACTTGAACCACACCTCTGCTTCAGGCTTTTCGGTGGTTAACTAGAGTTTGAGTCCCACAGATCTGTCTGCTAAGGCTGGCTTCGAACAGTGATACTTGAATCTGAGCTCCTGAGTTGTTGAGCCAGCTGCATGCGGCTAACATTTTGCCCCCAATATAGCTAAATGTTACAAATACATCGGCAAAACTGCTACACACACACACACACACACACACACACACACACACACACACACACACACACACACACACACACACACACACACACACACACACCATCGCTTGGATGGGCGTGCCTAGAAGGCGGGCAGTCAGGATCACAGGATCCCGGGTCCTCTGCTCTCTCAGCCTCGCTCTTTGCTTCTCGGGGTCCCGGAAGAGACTGAAGCTGAGGACCCTGGTCTCGGCGGAGGGTGGGGAGGTGGGGTGGGGAGGCCGAGGCTCCGGGCCGGGCCCCGCGTCGCGAAGCCGCGGCCCGCCTGGCTGCACGGTCGGCACGCCCCCCCTCGCCCCCGCCCCGGCTCCGTTTCTGCGGGAGCGGAGCGGAGCGGGGCGCTGGGAAGGCGGCACCTGCCTGCAGCTCCACTGCCCCACCCGCCCCAGCTCGCGGACACCCGCCCTGCCCAGCTCCAGACCCACCTGGGTCAAGGATAAGGACGTGCGCAAACAAGTGAGAGTTCCCCACAGACAGCTCCTCAGCGTGCCCGGACACGTGGCTCCTCCTCCCGCCGTGCTCCTCCTCCACGTCTCCGCCAGCCACGCCCACCGTCCTGGACACGCCCACCGTCCTGGTCACGCCCCCCGAGGCCGCATACATCTGTACCCTCTTCTCAATAACCGGAAGTAGTGGGCTAGAGGAAGGACCATCTGGTGACCGCAGAGTAATAGCCCGCAAGCCCTATGGCCCTTCTAGCCGTCCCTAAAACCTCCTGCGCGTTTGCTTGATTGGTCTCAACTCTTTAGTTGTCAAAGGGGCTTCAATTCCTCAAGTCAGATTTTGAGTACACTGATCTTGATCAGTCTTACTCCTTCCATGGTTCTCCCCCACCTTTCTTTCCCCAGCACCATCCATACCTTCAAGTCATGGCTCAATTTCTAAGTCAGCATGTGGAGCTTTCCAATCTGGGATGCCTCTGTCTTCACTTCCTGACCCACAATACCCTCCACAAAGCACACACATATGTTCCACTATCCAGCTTTGGGCGTCTCTGCTAAATCCTTCAGCCCCACTGCAAGCATGGATTTGGTCCAAGAAGATGAGTGAGAATTTCTTCCTTCTTTATTGTTGCAGTGTGACCAGACCTGTGAGTCTCAAGGATCAGGGGACCCCTCTTTCTTCCTGGAGAGACTGCAGGTTGCCTGCAATAGGAGCAATCGTCCAGTGTGAATACTTTTGTCCTGTTATTAGTCTAGGAACATAAGAAGCTTTGTACTTTGCATTTAAAAGGTATCTAGGCAACAGAGCAACTACTGTGAGGATCATGCTTTAAAGAAGAAAGGTCTAAATCCCAGTGGTGACTAGAATACAAGCAGGATAAAGAGCTTTCTCCCTGCTCACAAATTGATTTTCTAGTCAGTTATTCATACCTCACCAGAAAACTCCAGTGGCTGAAATTAAAGCAATGTGTTTGAAAGACATGTGGAGGTGGGGGCTGGATGCTCTAGGCCAAACGAAAAGCATGTTCCCTCCAGCAAAACTTACTGAAAGGGAGAAATGACTTTGCATTAAGAGTACTGGGGATGGAGCAGGGGCAGGCTGAGTGTCCAAGAGCAAAGGTCCTAATCCCTGTGGGAGCCTCTATCAGGGAGGGGTTGGGGCTTTATAAGGCATTGTTGGGTGCCCAAGATTTGCCAGCACCCTACTATCACAGTGTATCCATCCTGGCCCCTCTGCTCCTCTCATCTAGGTCCTAGCAGCAACTTATACATGTGTTCTGCATGAGTAACCCCTTGTGGACTGAGAACTGCTCCTAGAAGCACTGGGCATGCTAGACATGGAGAGCTGGTAGCCCCAAAGCCAGGGAAAGGTTACATGGCTACACAGTATCTGTTTCTAAGACCCATCATTGAATATGGAGCTGGAACTATAGTTCTGGAGCCTCAGAAGTTCAACATGAACAGTGGTGAGTTGGGGATTTGGAAAGAGGTATGTGGATGGTTGAGTTCTCACAGAAGCATAGAGCCTACACTAAAGGAGGGCCATATGCTATAAAAGACTGGTAAGGTGACTGCTAGTTGAAGTATCCCAACTTCCTGGGGCGGTTGGGACTCTAACCCACACTCAGCAAAAGGAGTTACCAACACTCAGTCTACAGGGCTAGGAAACTTTATGAGCACTATCAAGACAGTGAAGACCAGCCCTGACCTCAAACAACCCAGGGATGGTAAAGGCAAAAACCACAGAGGCCACTTGCAGGTTGTCAGTGGTAATTTTGCAGTCAGCAAGAAAACAAGTTACAGAAGCAAAGCTAGCCGTTAATAATAATAAATGGCAATTACAATTTCAATAATCAATCAACAGAGTTCTCGTCCTTGATCTTCCCTTTGTTCCCAGTTTTGAGTTTAACTGATATTAACCAGACACAATCTAAATTCTCCCTAGTTTTCATCTATTATCAAATCTCAGTAACCCAGTGTTTAATTCCTGATTTACTCAAGCCTTTTTCTCTGGGTTTCTTTCTTTTAATGACTAACCTGGTGGTTTTCTTCTAAAAGGAGATCCTACCTTACAAGTTTGGCCTTATTAATAAAAGAAAACTGCAAACAATCAAGTTCTATGTTTTAATAAAATTTGAGCAAGCATAATCACACACACACACACACACACACACACACACACACACACACACACAAAACCCATACATGGGGACATTGGTGGTTAGCCTTGCAGACTGCCAGCCCTATTTTTACTTGCTTTGCTATTCTCAGTAAATGTCAAGCTGTAGATTTTTTTCCCTTTCTGAAGTTTGCACTTACTAAGGTCCTGGGATTTAACTATCCCAGTTAAATTTCCTCCTTCTTTAGTCTAATTAATATTCTATTTGTTTAATTTAACCATCCTAACACTAGTAAGGTCAGCTATGAACAGACATAATTAGGCTGAGGAGAGGACTTCTCAGTACTGCCTGAACAGTATCATAAGGTACTGGCTGAGGGGCTCCTGGACTTCTTTCAGTGTGTGTGTGTGTGTGTGTGTGTGTGCATGTGTGTGTGTGTGCGTGTGCGTGCACATGCACACGTACCTACTATTGGTGTTTGAACTCAAGGAATCTCACTTGCTAGACAAGTGCTCTACCATTTGAGACAAACCTTCATCCCTTTTTACTTTTTTTTTTTGGCCTGGGGATGGCCTTGTACTTTGATTCTTTTGCTACCACCTTCTGAGGACCTTTGATTATAGAGGTGCACCACCATGCCCAGCTTGTTTCTTGAGAAAAAGACGAACTAATTTTTGGTCTCAAATGACACCACCAAACCATGATCCTACATTTAAATAGGTGTGATTACAGTATCACCACACATGATCCCTGGAGTGTTCTGATCAGTGACAGATCAGCACGGGGATAGGAGGACCTCTTTGGGTATTCCTGAGTTAGAGATAAATAGCTGGAAAGAGGCAACAGGAAAGCAAACAGCAACACAGACCCACATTCCAACTTACTCTGTATAGAGGTTTCCAGGATGACACTGGATAGCCTGCGACACTTATACACTCTGGAGATGCTGAGCGTTTGGAGAATGCATCTGGCTATGTCCCAGTGGTGGCAGGTCTTAGAGAACACAGCCATCCCATATCGTCTTCCTGGACCCACAGGATTGCTCCACATGATTGGCCTTCCCTCAGTTATGATAGTCACACGACTGGGCCTAGCCAGGGTCCAATACATTTATGCTCGCTATAAAGGCAACTCTCATACCATCTCCTCAATGACAAAAGACTAGAGTACATAGAACATTCCTTTGCTCTTTGCTCTGTAACTCTGAACATCTTGTGCTACAGAGAGACAATAGTTCATCTCCAAATCTAGGGTATTTTACACACAACGCAGACAGAGGCTTGGAAAAGCCTTTGCTCTTTGCTGTTTTTGCTCTTGGTGTTGGGCAAAGTACCTTGAGTTCTTCCTCAGTTGACAGTCTGGAACAAGATGAAACCCTGTGGCCCTGGCAATTCAGCTAATCCTGTGCATAATTGTTGAGAGACCATAGAACTGCCAACCAAGTCCAGAAAAACTCCTATCACACAGTCTCACAAACTGTGTACATTAGTTTTTTTTTTTGTTTTTTGTCTGTCATGGGACTTGAACTCTGGGCCTGGGTGGTGTCCCTGAGCTTTTCAGCTCAAGGCTAGCACTCGCTTGAGCCACAGTGCCACTTCCAGTTTTTATTTTCTGAGTGGTTTATTGGAGATGAGTCTCACAGACTTTTCCTGCCCAGGCTGGCTTTGAACCATACCAGATCTCAGCCTCCTGAATAGCTATTATTACAAGCGTGAGCCATCAGTGCTGGGCCTTTTAAACATTTTTATTGTCATTTAAAATGTGATGTACAGAGGGATTAGAGTTATGTAAGTCAGATAAAGAGTACATTTCTTCTTCTTTTTTTTTCTTGTCAGTCGTGGGGCTTGAACTCTGGGCCTGAGCACTGTCAGCTCAAGGCAAGCACTCTACCACTTGAGCTACAGCACCACTTCTGGGTTTCTGGTGGTTTATTGGAGATAAGAGTTTCACGGTCTCTCCTGCCCGGGGCTGGCTTTGAACCGAGATCCTCAGATCTCAGCCTCCTGAGTAGCTAGGATTACAGGGGTGAGTCACCAACACCCGGCTAAGAGTACATTTCTTTTTGGACAATGTCACTGCTTCCTTCACTCTCTCCCAGTGTTTCCCTCCCATCCCCACCCACAAGTGCTATAGTTCATTTTCAGCCTAGTGTCTAGTAAGTAACACTGTTGCATTTGTTTACCCTGTCTCCCTCCATTTCTGTAAGCATGCCTTCCATCTCAGGTTCTCAGCCTCTCTCACAAAACCAGTTGATCTGGCCAGGCTTAACTGCAGTTGGCCTTCAGCCCTGGCTCCTCCCACTTTACTTCCCAGAGCCCTGATTTACCCCTATCTCCCAGCTGCATCAGGCAATGAGCCTAACTTGTAATTGTTACAATCAGAAACCCCCACCCCAGCTGGTGTTGTCACACACACACACACACACACACACACACACAGAGGAGACTTCCCATCTTCCCTCCCTAGCCTCCCTGAATATAAATTTGACCCTGAACAAAATACAGGCACCATTTTTCTTTCTCTCATGGGAGAGGTGGCTTTGTCAACCTCTGCTGGCAATAAACTGCTTCTCCATACATAGGTATGTCCATGTGGTTTTCTGGGAGGGGGCTTATATTGGTGCTGTGACTCAGATCCCAAGCTGCCCCCCACCCCCACCCCAGTGACTTTACTCTTCCCCTCTTGGGAATCTGAGCTGTCCCAGGGAGCCCCCTGCTGGGTCCAAGCCCACTCAGATAACTGCCAAGGTGAATTCCTCCTAAAGGAGTGCCACTTCCTGTGTTCAACATCAGCTAATCCACCCCTGCTTCAGTGGTGCATGACAATATGGGGCTCCAAATTCACAGGATAAAAGCTTGGTAACAAGTCATCTCCCTCCCCCTCCACACACACTGCCCCAGGAGGCCTAGGCCACTAGGCTAGGGATTTAACAATTGTGTGGTGACCCCTTTTGTTGTTTCCCTTAAGTTCTCTGGACCCAGCAACTGTGGGTGACCACCCCTCTTGCTGCTTGCTCCCTCCATTAGTTGACTGGAGATCCCCAAGGATGCTGTGGAGTCTCTAGCATCTAAAATTCCTCAAAATTCTCCTCTAGGCTGTCTTCTGTCTAACTTGGAGACACTACTTAAAGCCTCATAAGCTCATATGGTTGTACAATCAAATCTGGCCCCAATATTCACTGAACAATGAGTCCACATAACCCCTTCATAGGACACTGGACTCCAGTATTTTATGGGACCTGTATATAGAGAGACTCAGGCAAGTAAAAAGGCCATTTATTTATTTATTTCTCTTGGTCATGGGACTGGAACTCTGGGCCTGGGCGCTATCCCTCAGCTCTTCAGCTCAAGGCGAGCGCTCTACCACTTGAGCCACAGTGCCACTTCAGGTTTTCTAGTGGTTTATTGGAGATAAGAGTCTCACGGACTTTCCTGCCCCGGCTGGCTTTGAACCATGATCCTTAGATCTCAGCCTCCTGAGTAACTAGGATTACAAGCGTGAGCCACCGGCGCCCGGCTAAAAAGGCCATTTATATACAATCTCTCTCTCTCTCTCTCTCTCTCTCTCTCTCTCCTTGCTGTACATAGTTGGTTTAGATTCTCTAAACTAAAACTGTCTGCTTCAAACTCTTTCAAATTCTCTCTCCTTGTGCCTGCCTGCCTGCCTGCCTGTGTGGCAACCTTCAGCCGACACAAGATGGCGGTGGAAATAAGCCTCCAAAGAGCAGCTCAGTCTGTCTCTCATTCCCCTTTTTTATTCTCTCTCTCTCTCTCTATCTGTCTTGCTCTGTGCTTCTCAAGGTTAGCAATCCTGGCCTGAAATTCTCTCAGATAACATTGCTCCTCACTCACTCTAGATCAAACCTCTCCTATTCTTTCTTCAGATACTGGAAATTAACACCTGCCTAAAAGGGACAAAGGCCACATGGTGTTTTTTTTGTTGTTGTTGGTGGTGGTGGTTGTGGGCCTGAACTCTGGGCCTGGGCACTGTCCCTCAGCTCTTCAGCTCAAGGCTAGCACTCTTCCACTTAAGCCACAGTGCTACTTCTGGCTTTTTCTGCTTATGTGGTGCTGAGGACTTGAACCCAGGGCCTCAGGCATGCAAGGCAAACATTCTACCACTGAGCCACCTTCCCAGCCCTCACTTAACACCAAATTTACTCCTCTAGATATTCAAAGGTTACTTCATATACTAATATGTCTTATTATCAAAAATTGATTTCAAGGTTTTCTGTTCTTATTATCAATATACATAAACATGGAGATCTGTTAAATTCTGCTTGTTAACTCTCTGGATTGTAATGACCTGGGATCGAGAAAATCCACAGACGCACAGTTAAATGTGACAAAGGAGTTTTATTATCCATCTGCAACAGCCATGTTCTAGGCTACCTCAGAACTAGGAGCAGCTACAACCTCCAAGGGTGTGAGATTTTTTTCCTTTTTCCTCCTTCCTCCTTCCTGTAAGCCTCACCTTTCCACAGGCCTCTCCACTTTCAGCAAGCCTCTCCACAGGCCTCTCCACTCTCCTCAGGCCTTTCCTTAGGCCTGACTCTCTTTAGGCCTCTCCACTGGCCTGGGTTCTAAAGCCCAGGCATTGATGCTCTCTGACAAGCACCTCTCTTGTGGCTTCATGGGGGTATCTCTTGTTCTCTATCCCCCTTCCCCAGAACATTCAGCCTGAATATGTTGGATTACCCTCCCCTCCCCCTTATTCCCCCTTCCCCAACCAGCAGACCAGAATGGTGACATCAGTGTGGGGCAGGATTTCTCAATTGCCCCTCTGGTTCTCACATTCCCCACTGGTTTTTGTGTCCAATCAAATCATTGATTCTTATGTTCTTCTTTTGGGCCAAATCCTAAACTCCCTGGTAGGAGGAGGCAGGTCCAGCAGATAATAAGAGGCTATCCTTAAACTTTTTTCAAATGGAATCTCCAGGTTGGAAGAGATGGGCTGGATCTTGGCTGGGCTGCAGTGGTGTCTCCCAGTGGCTTTGGTGATTGTCATACCTCCTGCTGGGTTTCCTGCAAATTTCTACATAGACTGGTTAAGGATACATTATATAGGCTTGGAATGCTGAGGCCCTACTAGTTTTCAAGACAGTTTTAGGCAATGGCCGGGTTATGAGAGGGCTAACAATTTCTGTGTTCCCCTTTAAACTCCCAAAGATAGACAAACCCACCTTTACCCACAAGTTGTATAGTTCATTTTTCTCCTAATGTCTAATAACACTGTCACATTTGTTCACCGTTTCTCCCTCCATTTCTGTGTTCCCCTTTACACTCTCAAAGACAGATAAAGGAACAAAGAAAACAAAAAGAAAAGAAATATAACCAGAAAAAAAATCTTGCTTAATTATGATTTTTGTTGTTGTTGTGGGGCTTGAACTCTGGGTCTGGGCACTGTCCCTGAGCTCTTCAACTCGAGGCTAGTGCTCTACTGCTTTGAGCCACATATCATTTTCAGTTTTCTAGTGATTAATTGGAGATAAGAGTCTTTCTTGCCCAGGTTGGCTTGGAACTGTGATCCTCAGATCTCAGCCTCCTGAGTAGCTAGGATTACAGGTGTCAGCACTGGCCCCTAGCCCCATTGAATTGTTTTTAATACAACATTAATGTGACCTTATGTGATTGAAACTGGTAGCTCAGAAAACCTGAATGGAGCAGAGCCCCTAAGTCATATGGACTTGGATATATACAAACAATGAGCTTTAATTGTCCATATTACTGCACTATCACGGTTTGCTTCTGGACTATAGCAGAGTGGAAAGGACATCCTGAGAGATTACAGGCCCCCTTCGTGGGCAGAAGGGAGGTCATACCTGAATTGGATTGAATAAATATCTACTATCCTCCAAAATATAGTCATGTAGTATTGGCCTGTCTTCTGGAAGCCCATTCCCTGGTAAAGGGCCTGAGCACCTGGTTGTAATGCTCCAGTCTCAAGGACAACCTCACTGAAGCCCTGGTCCCGGGCAAACTGGAGGACAGTCCTGACCATGGCTTTAGCTATCCCCTTTCCTCGGTGCTCCAAGGCCACAGACATGCGAAACAGCTGTAACTGCTTCTTCCCTAAAGGAGGATCCTTGACAGGCACGGCACCCACCATGCCCACCACCTGCCCCTCACACTCAGCCACCCAGAAGCAGGAGTCATGGGAGCTCAGGTAGGACTTGGTGATGTCAGCCAAGTCTGTGTTGGAACACATGGCCACATACTGCTTCCAGGGGAATCTGGCAATGAACCACAGGAAGAGGAGCAGAGTGAAGACACAGGCAATGGCCAGCATCCATGAGCCATAGACCAGGAGTAGTGAGAGCGGCATCCCAAATAAGAGCAGGAGTGTTCTGGGCAGCTTTAGCAGGTATTTGAAGGTGGCAGGGATGTGTTCTTCCATGCCATTGGTGAACAATGCCAGGACCTGTGTGTGGTCGCTCTCCTGGTACTTGCGGATGTAATAAGGAGCCATGGGGAGACGTCTGTGTCTGAAATCTCCGTGTCCAGAAGAGACCAGTAGACTTGTCTTCACACTTTCCTGTATCCCTATAAAAGAAAGAAGATGCCATTGAGTTTTCCTCCAATAGCTCCCAGCCTCCCTGGAAACATGGAAACCTTGTTAAACAAATGGACACTGAAACCACCACTGTGAGAAAGTATAAGATCAGAAACACCTGATTAGAACCGTGATTCCTCCCTTTCTAGCTGTGTGGTGTTTGCTATGTCACTAACTGCTCTGTGCCTGAATATCATCACCTATACAACAGGTTATGGTAACACCTCCCTCTAAGGTTGTTTTGAAGATTTAACAACAGTAACTTGCTTGGAGCACTGAGATATATAGGCCCTTCCTCTGCACCCTACTAATCATAATTATAGGTGCTGTAAATGGCTTGATGCATTGAGATGGTACCCTGTGGCAGGCAGACGATGCCCCAGCTCCTTGTCCTGTCTCAGGGTTTCAAAACAACTATTGGGTTCCCAATGCCAAGTTTCAGCAAAGCTTCCTTTCAACTGATCATAAAGGTTCAATCTGCAGAGAGGGCAAAAGGTAAAGCACTACAACCTCCTGCCCTTGCAGTCCCAGGAAACTGTGAGTCTAGACCAAATCCTAACCCTTAACCTTGCACCTGTGCCCTCTCACCACTTAGTACAGAGCAGAGAGTGTCCACCACAGACCTATCACTGAGGCATCCTGAAGAGATTATGTAGGTCTCTGCCTCAACTTGGGGAAGAGGGGTAGAGCTGGACTGGGACCTGATTGGGTGGCTACTGAATAATCATAAACCCAAGGCCAAGAATTAGACAGCAAGAGAGAGCATGGATCCAAAGTCCATTCCCAGAGAATCACAAGGTCAGGGAAAACCTAGGGATTCTCACATTCATAGCAGGTCTCCTTTTCCTTTCCCTGTTAGGCCACAACATCTCTTGATTGGCATACTTAGCCTTCTGGTGCCCACTTTAGTCCTTTCTAAATACCTGCTAGGATCCTGGGGACTGTACCACTCACTCATCATGAGCAGAATCCAGGTCCTTTGGCTCAACTTCTGTTGAGCCTTACAGCCATACAGTTTTTCTCTGTCCAGTTTCTCTTAGTACCTGTCTTAGACAAAAAGGGAGATCCTGGTGATTCTCTCTACTATACTCCTTTCCCTTCTTTCCTCTAGGAATAAAAAAAAATCTTTTAAAGTGAGCATAATGTATAGATGTAATATTTTTAAGAGAAACTCATACAAATATTAAGGTAGTATAAAGTCCATAGACTCTAAAAGCACTGAAAACACTTGACCTCCACACAAACATTTGTAGTGACCTGAAAGCTGTTGTAATGATAGCAAGCCTTAATAAATGGCTTGTGGCAATAGAGCCTATGTCTCCCAGAACTTGGGGCCTCCAAACCAGTCAGAACAGACTTTATTTGGTCAACAATTTTGGATATATTTTGTGAAAGATCTACTATTTGAAGATACCATTCCTTCATGATGACTACCTAGTCCACTCCAGCATGCAAATAGGAAATCCAGTATGTGCCTCTTTGCAATGGAAAAACTCTAAAGTGAGATTTCTTGCAGGAATAATAAGGTGTTGGATATCTGGTTTGTCAGTTTTTGAAGCCTGCATGTAATAGCAATTTAGCTTTTCATTATTAGAGAGATGAGTCCCTCTTCTCCTCCTGGCCCAAGGTAAGGAATCTGTCCTGCATCTAAATCCTTCTGTCATCTACTCCAGAGAGTAATGATTAGATCACAGTTATTCTCTGTGGGCAATGCTGTTGTTGAGTACTGAAGGAATCCTTGAGACAGGAAATTGCTATTTGAAAAGCAACCAAATCCTCTTAATGGCTCACAGGAATAATGATGACTTTGGCTGATCATGTTTTTGCTGTATAGATTCCAGAAAAACAGGTACTATTATTGAAATGTGAATCTAAGAAACAACTTCTTGGGTGTAGTACTTGATTAGTACTTAATTTAAAAAATAAGCATCAGAATGAATAATTTTATTTAGCTTTTGAATAAGAACTTTAAATATTATATACCCTGCCTCTTGGAATATGGAATTCTGAGACTTGCATAGATACCAGGAAATGTTTAAATTTTGGAAAGGCTTCCTCTTGTTTCCAGCTGGATTAAGTCTCCACAGTTTAAAGTTCAGACCTTAATACCTCTGCTAGGGCATTTGCTGTTGTTATCTTATTTTTCTGGAGCATTAAGTTTAAAATCTGATACACTGTGTGCTGTAAGGGAACAAAGAGTTTCATTGGTCCTTCCAGACATCTCCAGCATGAAGCTAGATGCTGTTATCCATTGTGAAAACAATGACAGCCAATGAAGGAAGCATTGCTAAGAATAGTAGGAAAGCAAGAGATAAAAGTCTGCCTCTAACACTCCTAGGGGAGGAGCACAAAGGCCTAGTGATTTTGTGCCTCTGATCATATGAAATAATATTTGTCAAGATGAACTCCAGAAAATGGAAACAAAAGTTTCTTTTTCTTTCCTTTTTTGTCTAGTCTATTCATTTTCCTGTCTTTGTTTGGGATGGGGGGAGGTAAGGAGGGCACAAAAATGGAGGGGCATAGGGTGAACAGCCATGGTACTCAGTAGAAACTATGTTGAAATGAGCTATACAACTTGTGGATGGAGACAGGAGGGAATAACTGGAAGAGAACAAAGGAAGGGATGACATTGTCCAAAGAGAAATTTACTTATTACCTGGCTTATATAACTGTAACCCCTCTGTACATCACCTTTATAACAAGAGAGAGGAGATATGGGATTAGATAGTCCCTGAGTGACATTAGCCACAAGTCTAAATAACGACTAAGAAAATCTTGGCTGGGGATAAACTAATATGTGAGTAAGGGTGAAGTTGTTATGGAAAAGCACAAGACCCCAAGTTCAAGCTTCAATAACGGCACACAAAAACTGCCAGTTCTCCAAAAATTCATTAAATTGTTCGGAATAGCTAAGTATTATGGTAGGGTTCCTATGCTTTAGAAATCACCAGTGCATATGAGAAGTACAAGTTGTCATGTCAAAAATGAACTTTACAACTTTGGTGGGGGGGGCGGCTGGGAAGTGATGTGAAGGGTAAACAAAGGAGGAGGCTGTAATGCTTGATAAGAAATGTACTCATTATCTTGCCCATGTAATTGTAACCCCTCTGTACAGTATGTTCACAAAAAATTAAAATTAAAAAAAAGAAACCACCAGTGCATAAACTCGTTTAACCACTTTGGAAAGCAGTATGGAGGTTCCTCAAAAGACTCCACATAGAACTCCCCTATGACTCAGCAATCCCACTTTTGGGCATTTACCCCAATGATCACAAACAAAACCATACTAAAGCTACAAGCACAACTATGTTTATTGCAGCATTATTTACCATAGCTAAG